TTGACCAATGACCAGTTTACACCTCGACATTCACAACTGGCCGAGTTGTGCATTTTTTTCTTGGCCGAGTTGAAATCTGGCCGAGTTCGGTTGTATTCATCATTCTCCATCTCACGGTCACACTAAGTGTGTACGTTCAAACACGATGTTCAAACGATATTAAAGTATACTGAACGACAGATTGAATTGACCCTGACAACTTTGAACTTGGACCTAGCTTCTCCCTTAATTCGTTCTATCGACATCTCCAAATAGTCCCTACTGAAAACCAGTTTTACTGCTAGGTTAATGGATTTTATTTATAGTATTATTAAAAACAAAAGAATCGGTATTGCACGCAGACTTGTCTTGCGTGGCTTCTGCGTGCCCGCACAACTCACCCTCAGATACGCTTTTGAGGTACCCGTACATACACTGTACCTCTCCTGTCCCCTAAATGGATTCATAGCGACTTACGCAACGCGCGTAAAATACATAGTTTTACTCGTAAATGCATGAAAATCGAACACTTGCGACGCGCCAACAAACGCTCTTTAACGACCTTTGACACCAGGTCACGTCTGTAATGACTGGTGACAGAACAGCCAGGAACGTTGAAGAGCTATGAGGTAAGTATAACTAGCGTCGCTGTGCCGATTGTTATATCTGAATAGCTGACTGAATCTCAAGTGTAACGTGCGTAGGTAAGATTTAGTGTTTACTACTGCCTTCGTTGAAAGTGGGCGTGTTTCAGATGATAGTTTCGGGGTTAGTTTCACCAGCTGTCCTTGGCTTCATTTATCTCACTCCATGTAGGCCACACACCACATTTGTATAATTCGTCAACTGACTCGATTTCAAAATTACACGTATGCATCAAATGGCATTTTGTCAATACATGGGATTGAATTATGGAGTCGATATTACTTTATTTCTGTCTTCATAAAAACATGTGTAGTGAGATTAAGGAAATGATACCTGCCAATTATACAAGATTTATATTCTGTTTAGATAATAATAATAATAATAATAATTTATTGACACAACACCGATATAGTACAATACTGCAGTATGGCCACTAAATACAACTATGCATTAGGATGGCTCTTTACAATTTAACGAAAGTTTTTAGAATTTTTTGATATTTTGCAAATAGTTTGCTTATTGCTATACAAGTTCATATTTTTTTGAGGTAAACATGGTTCTACTGTGTCATGTTTTTCAGAGTTGATACATGTAACTATATGGGGGGGGGGTAGAACATGACTCTGAAATATAAATTGGAGTATGGATCTATTTGTAAAGATATGACAATGGAAATAATTTTCCATATTTTAATCATTAGAACATGTTCTCACACAAAATGTCTGCGGATCCATGTCAAACCTACCATGTTCTGGAGACTGTATTGAGCAACCTAAATGTGTAAACTATAAATTATCCAGAATCCTCTACGATTTGTTATCATTGTGTGTTTCAGTGTGGTTGGACATTGATTTGGCCGACCCTATTAATTTTTTTAGGGATTCTGCTGTTTTTGTTTTTTTAAAAGTTTGTTTTGACATGTGTGAGCTCAATGTCAAATTTATCTCAAAATCTTTCTTCAGTTAATTATATAGTCTTGTTATACGGTTTTATTTATTATTAACTATTCAGCAATTTGGAGAAAAGAAGTTTTGAAAAAAATGTATGTACTGATATTCAGAATGCACATAGGCATATCCATGGTTGGTTGTGTACTGGTAACATTTACCAAACTTTTACCAACAAATGTATGCCAGTACAAACCACATAATGTGAATGTGAGTAATCACAGTTGCTATTGTGAGTAATGACCTTAAAATACCATTGTCACAGAGGGAATAACATATTTTTCAAAATATCAAATTTAAGCAACCTTATTGCAAATATAGATATGTGCACAATTTATGATAACAAATCCCCAAACAAATAACATTTACAACATTACCCCTATTTCATGAACTCAATATTGAAGTTATACTTAAATATGAAATAGTATATTGTATAAAATTAAATAAAATTATGCATGTTTATAATAAGCTTTTTTTCTTCATGTTTCTTTCATTTCTTTCATTTCATTAGTATTTATGTTTGCCAGTTTATTTATTCTGAATTTTGTAGAATGATTAACAGTTAACTGTCTTGACAGTTGTATCCATATTTTAAAAAGTAAGTTTCTGAATTTCCGGATTCATTAGTTGCATAGCCCCCACCCAAAACACAGCACAAACATACTAGTAAATAGGTTGCTTGGATGCATTTACGTTACTTCCATTCTCAATTTTAAGTTCATTATCGTTATAACTGTTCTAGAGTGGTGTATTTTGCTTTTTAATTATACTAAGTCACTCTAATTGTACTGGTAATTTAATTGTAGAATGAATGAATAAATAAATAAATAAATAGAAATAGTGGTCTAATTTTCTTGTCACATATAACGATAATAAATTTTGTTAATACCAGTATAATAAATGTGTATATCTATATTTATCATCCAATTTGGCTTTGTTGGCTATTTATATCAAGCAGTGTGAGTTTAAAATGTCATTTGTGGGGGTTGGGTAGGGGTGGGGGTGGCGGGTAATGAGGTGACAGAAGTGCCAGGAACACGTTGAAGAGCTATGAGGTAAGTAACTAGAGTCGCTGTGCGGATTGTTACATATGAATAGCTGACTGAATCTCAAGTGTAACGTGCGTAGGTAAGATTTAGTGTTTACTACTGCTTTTGTTGAGTGTGGGCGTGTTTCACATACTAGATTCCTGACTAGATGTCCACCTCGGCTTCATTTAGCTTCACTTAAGCAATCATTACAAGCCAGAATCTGGCCGGTAATGTGAGGCCGCTTACACTGATGGCAAGTCTGTTGGGATTTCGCGGTCACATGACTTTCGCGTTCATCCCTTTGTTTACGCAATTTATATTTATTTTTCAAGAATCGGAATCGCACGACTGCAAGAAAGTCTACTTCAGACACAGATCGAGGCACTATCATTGGATGATGGAAATAGAATCTAGACACTGAGTGTAAACATTCACACAGTGTGATACATTCTTTGTTGCCATTTTTGGGCTGTCATCTGTCATTAACTTATATCACTACAGCAAGGAATAATGGCAGTACGGTGACTCATCAACCTCTACTGCAAGTCGGTCAATACGGCCACTGTACTGCCTTTGTGCATACTTTGCGATATTCTCATAATAATCTGATATTCTTTCTGTTTGAATAAACGTAGAATCAGTTAATGAAAAAGGTGATAATGGAATCCCTTTTGAAGAAACAGTTGGGATGCACTCGTGTGAAGTCCTTTGGTTACGGAGGTGGGGGGTGTATAAGTAGCGGACAGAGTTATGAGACGGACAACTATGGGAAAGTCTTCGTTAAGATAAATTCAGAGAGTGGGGTATGTATCAATTATTCAATAAATACTGATACTATAAGGTTATTACGAGAATACCTCAAAGTATGCACGAAGACAGTACAGCTCAGTATCGACCGACGCGCAGCAAAGGTCAGATGCGCATCACACTGTCTGAGGGCATACTTTGAGGTATTCTTGTAATAACCTTCTATTATTATACATCTTTTCCTTCCAAGGATACATCATGGGAATGCCAAAATCCAAAAAGTTGTGTTGAGTCCCGTCAAACCCTGATGGCAGCCATATTTGTTTTTATTAGTAGAGAACGCTTATGCGCGTCATCATTCCATATTTGGAATTCACGTTTCCTTATATGGTACGATGAAAATACCCTGTAAAATACTGCAAAATTACGGCACACTAACTTATTGCGTTACGGTGACGGATTGGTAATAATAATAATAATAATAATAGTAATAATATAGGTTATTTACTTTATTGACAAATATAACTGGGGTTATTTAGTTAAGTGTCTCACAAAGTTTTATTATTTCAGACTTCATTAAATTAAATTTGAAAGTCATCTAATAGTTGTCTAATAATCATTTAATTGTTTTCTTTTAATACTAAATTGCCTCCACATATAGATAGTCAACAGTGGTAACCATCTTGAAGTACAAACCCCAACTGTGTATACACTTAATAATGTATGAAGTTATTTGCATGCATGTTTCTATTTTGTGTTCAAAAGAATCTGAGTAATTCAAGTAGTACTCTGAAAATCTATTTATTTATCTATTTTTACTACAATTTTTTTTCTTCCAAGGCAAGATTAATGTTTGACGGTGAACTAGCTGGACTGAATGCTATCATTGCTACGGGTACTGTCAGAGTTCCTAAACCTTATAAAGTGGTTGATCATGGTTCTGGTGCAGTATTGATAATGGAGCATACAGACATGCAGGGACTTGGAAGTCATGCCGCTAAATTAGGAGAATTATTAGCCAAGTAAGAAAGGGCTTTGTTATAACAAAAATATTAATATATTAATAATTATCCAAAATTCTAGTAATTTATTTTTTATTCTTGATCCTATTATTTTGAATGAGACAATGAAAATATGCAAACCACAGTGTCCCTAGAGGGTCAATTTTTTAACCGAATATTGATAAATTAAAAAAAAAAATTATAATCTTTTTTATGTTACCTCTTATATATTAGGAACCAATTTCAATGAAATTTTGTTCACTGATTCTTTGGAATTATAGACAGACATGATTAGTTTTTGGCTGAAATCTTTGCATGATAATTAACTTATTTACATAAATTAGCCAAATTTTGTTGTCCCACATCTTAAGTACTATCATAGATTTCAATGAAACTTCATACATAAATGCTCTTGGGTAATACACAGATGCATTTAGATTTTATATATATAATCCCCCTGTATTTCCATCAGAGTTTTGTATCAATTTGAGCGGCAGACGAGGATTGATGCTACTCTGACGGTAATCATGAGTGTCTGCTGACATCAGCCTAAAAGAAAATATCGTGGGATTATATTTACCACCTGCAGATGTACATATTCTGAAAAATTGAAATAGTGGAGTGTTGAATGTAGTACTACATGTATATTGCTAAAATAACACCAAATACAATTTCTCTTTAATTTTAACCAATTGTTTGGAGGGAGTGAATAATAATTCCTAAAATACCAACTTGATCGAGCTTGCCGAAATGAATCATTAGTCCTTAGTTATAGCGCCTTAGTTATACCCCCAGAAATCTTTGCTCAAATTTCAGGCAGCAAGTACCATGGGAAAAAGTTTGACGTCAAACTATGTAATATGCATTTTGATCTGTCCTGACCACATCACACTGAGGAGATACACAAATTATGCATTTGATAAAAAGTTCAATTCCATGCTTGTTAATAAATTAGACAATTTTCAATTATTTCAACTCTTTACAGAATTTAAATTAATAGGTTCTCTGGAATAAATCAGACAGCAAACCAGAAATGTATACAATAAAACAATAATTTATTTTGTCCTAATAAAAGTTTTGTTATCATTATATACTTCAATTCTGTGGATCAAGTTGCAGAGCTATATTAGTTACCAGGCTTTTTGTTTAAAATTAATTTTAAATATTCTCTGTTACCTTCATATACTGCCAATTCTCAACACACAAATGTAAAAAAATTTGTTTTGTTTTTTTAATATTATTCATTATTTGGAGATTCAAATCAACTTACTATTTTTTTATATTTTTCATGGATTATAATAAAATAGGTCATTAGTTGAAAAGATTACATGAATTAAAGGCATTTAAAATTATTTCCCAGAATGCATCTGTATAATGAGGAGATGGGAAAAAAGAATGCTGAAGATGCCAGTATTGTCGGCAGTGGTGATGACGGCGCTTATGTCAGTCAATTCGGCTTTCATACAACAACATGTTGCGGTTATATACCTCAAGTTAACGACTGGCAAGATGATTGGGTGGTAAGTATTATAGAAAGTGTTTTATACCAGAGAGGGTATACATTGAAGTTTATTTTGGTCTCATTAATTCTAATGTTGCTAATCTCATAGCAACATGCTTAATAAATAAGTAAAAACACAATTTCTGGTTTTGTTTTTTTCAAAGACATTTTATGCCAAGAAGCTGGAACAGCAATTAAACCTGCTTAACAAAAAGTCTGGAGACCGGGAAGCTAATGAACTTTGGTCTAATCTTCAGTTAAAATTACCAGAAATGTTCCAAGGACTTGATATCAAACCAGCGTTATTACATGGTGATCTGTGGAGTGGGAATGCATCTGGAAATAAAAATGGTCCACGTGAGTTGTATCTAGCAAACCATTATTCCACTCAATGAACCCCACTTATACCACAACCACACTCAGTAACGATGATATAAACCTTAGCCAGTACCACCACCATCCTCATTATCTCCTAAATAAACTCCGACCAGTACCACCACTGCCCTCAGTAACCCCATAATGAACCTCGCTACCTGCCTCAGTAACCCTGTAATAAACCTCACTACCACCCTCAAAAACCCCTATTAAAATTTAACCCCACCACCACCCTCAGTAACCACTAAATAAACCCTATTGCTACTACGACAACCTTTGGTAACCCCTAAATGAACTCACGACCACCCCAACCTCCAGTAACCACTAAATAAACCATATTGCTACTACGACAACCTTCGGTAACCCCTAAATGAACCCACGACCACCCCAACCTCCAGTAACCACTAAATAAACCCTATTGCTACTACGACAACCTTTGGTAACCCCTAAATGAACCCACGACCACCCCAACCTTCAGTAACCACTAAATAAACCCTATTGCTACTACGACAACCTTCGGTAACCCCTAAATGAACCCACGACCACCCCAACCTCCAGTAACCACTAAATAAACCCTATTGCTACTACGACAACCTTCGGTAACCCCTAAATGAACCCACGACCACCCCAACCTCCAGTAACCACTAAATAAACCCTATTGCTACTACGACAACCTTCGGTAACCCCTAAATGAACCCACTACCACCCCAACCTCCAGTAACCACTAAATAAACCCTATTGCTACTACGACAACCTTCGGTAACCCCTAAATGAACCCACGACCACCCCAACCTCCAGTAACCACTAAATGAGCCTGCTACCACTAAAACCTAACATCAAAAACCTGTATATTATGAAAAATAGCTTGCTTGTTCAGACGGCAAGAATTCATTTGGTTTCAAGTGCAATATTATGTTAAAGGGTTTTGCATGGTCATTCTGCAGTGGGTATTTAAATTTTATGTAAATAATCTATTTTACATATGTTGTGTACATTACTTTTTCAGTCCCATATCAACAGGATGGAACACGACGACCATCACCTTTTATACTTTTGGATTGATATCAATAGTGGTACATTTAATTGTTGGTGTCTGCCTCAATTATCATCAAAGCACTGTGTAGCGCAAAATACACTAATTTGCTTCCTCTATATACTCCAATGTCAAATCAAAATGTTTCAATTGTGAACTTGCTTAATGAAAATTACCTTCAGTTCACCAACCATGACACACCCCAGCCCACCCGCCATTCCTTCTCAAAAATAATATAATTATTGTCATTATATATTTTACGAACTTTGTACTGACTCTAATTGTAATACATTGCAGTTATATTTGACCCCGCCACCTTCTATGGACATCACGAGTATGACCTCGGAATAGCAGGAATGTTTGGTGGATTTGGAAGTTCATTCTATTCTGCCTACCATTCCCTCATTCCTAAACAACCAGGGTTTAACAAAAGGAGTCAGCTTTATCAACTATTTCACTATTTGAACCATTGGTAAGATATTTTTTTCAACAGCGCTCTCCAGAGGGCATTTACTCTGTGCTTTTGTTTACTGTGGTTCTGTTGTGATTATGAGAATTGTTACCATATCTTGAATGGTATATCCTTTGTGCTGTGCCCTTGAATTCATCTTTTCTTGAATAAATTATGAAAACTTGAATGGCTAAGTGTTAAATTTTGATGTTCATTATTGTAAAGAAGCTGTTTTTCGAAATGTAATCGTCATTATAAATTACCATTATTATTCTTTTTTTTAGGAATCACTTTGGATCTGGCTATAGAGGGCAGTCTATAAGCATCATGAAAGCCTTGGTGAAATGACATTACCCAGCATGCAGCCAGAATATATTTCAGATTGCAAAAGAACATTGACCACTGCAATGTCATAATAAGTGGTTAATAATAAGTTTGCTTTTTAACTATTACAGTTTTAATGTGTTATTCTGATATCCGACATCATCTGTTATACAGTTGAGTTAACCAAAACTTAGTTGTCATAGTTACTACTAATTGGGTATGTTGTCAGTAAGCCAGTTACCTGGAAAAATCTAAACGTTGCATTCCTACTTTGCAAATTTGTGAAGTACCATTCCGTGATCAATACACCATTAAATATTGCGATTGTGCAGAATTTACGTTTTGTTGGCTGCCATCAACATAAAAATCACTTCTAGGGGAATTATTCTAAAGTGTGCATTTTTTAGTCATTTTTTTCCCCCAAAAAATTGTCATTTTGGAAAAAAAAAGATGAAAAGTTTATGATTATATGGTCTTTTAAAAAAAGAAATTGTCATAAATTTGTTGCCCTAAGTTTTCTTTCCCAAATTAAGCTTTGATTGCCTTCAAAGGTCAGTTAAAATATAGATATGTTTGTCTAAAAGATTAGACTCTCCATTACTCTTAGAATAAAATAAGCGAGAAGGGGAAGTGAGGGAAGGATATCTACTTCTTAATATATTGTTTAGGTAAAACAGTGTTTGAATACATTTTAAGTTCTTAGCTTGTTCCTGGAGTGATGTGCAAAGTGGTAATGCAATTTAATAATCTGATCTTTAATTAAATCATTCTGTCCATTACTTAACATGTATCTGCGAAAATCTATATATTTTCTGAAAGCTTAGATATAGAACACTAAAGTTTTATAAACTTTATTTGCAAGAGGTTATGTGATGGAGAATCCTGTATAAAATACTGTAGTGAACAATAAATTATTTTACTGTTTGTGCTTCTGCATGATATGTACTTGTGCTTGTGCTCTATCTCTGATAATTGTTATTATGTAGAAATAGCTGAGAAATTGTCTGCATTTG